CTCTCCCACTTTCTGTTTGTTTGTTTTTTTTAATGGTGGGCGTTTACGCAGTTGGCTAGAGCAGTGCTGATTGGGGAGAACGGAGGTGCGCTCACTCTATTGGTTAGTAAGGCTGTATGGAAGCCCGTTTCCGCCACTGAATAAAAAATAAAAGAGGTAATTGCGACTTTTTATCTCACAATTCGGACTTTTTTTTCTCTGAATTGCGTGACATAAACTCGCAATTGCGACTTAAAAAGTCATAATTGCGAGACATAAAGTCGCAATTCGGAGGAAAAAAAGTCAGAATTACGATATATAAACTCGCAATTCTGAGAACATATCAGTCAATTTTTTAGTAAATAATCAGTTAACCATTATTGTGCAGCTCTACGTACTCTAAAAAAGCTATTCCTTGCTACTAAATACATCTTTAACAGTGTAATTAGATTACTGTACTTCCTCAAACAAATATTGCATTACTTATTCCCAATTGCTTTCTAAATCCCATATCAACCTCGAACATTTGAATAATACAAAGGTAGACATGAATCAGCTGTTAATTCTTTCAAATAAATATAATATAAAATTATTCTTTAACTGACTAAATTTAAAGGGAGAAGGTTACATTAAAACAAAAATTTTTACATTAGATCTTAAATCCACAATTGTTTTATATAGAATTGTTCTATAATCTATACAATATATAAAGCAATTACATCTAAATTGTAATTAAATTACAGAATAAAATAAATAAATAAATTTAAAAAGGGAAAAGTAATTCTTGGTAATGCATTACACCCAACACTACTAGCTCTTTCGATTAATCGCACAGCCCTAAACACCAGTCTTGTTGGCCATTTCTCGTATTATTGTGTCAGGCGGTGGGAAGCGTCTCTTATGAACATCTTTAAATTAGCACACACCCTGGCACTGCCAGTCTCCCTCACAGCGCTCAAATGACTAAGGATGTGATGTAATATGCCAAGACACTACAACAACCGGTCGTGCTCACTCAGCTGGCTAGAGATCTGATTGAGCTCTGAACAGTCTGTTATCTGCTGCATACTACATAGAAAAAAGGCAAGTGAAGACTGAATCTGGCAGCTATGCCACTTGCAGGAGTGCAGGGATGCAACAGTCAGCCTGAAAACGACAAGATATGAGGCGGATTCAACGACTGAGGAAGAACGAATCGCTGGATTTGCCAAAGTTTGTCAGGTTAGTGGCATCACATCTTTTAAAAGACGCTCAAATGCTGTTTGAGACGCTTAGTAGTAGGGCTGCCCGATTAATCGCATTTCAATCGTAAACGCGATTTTTGCTCCTCTCGATCGTCAGCGATATTGGCCCACTGTTTATTTATCCACTTTCAATTAACGTGCATTATATTGCATTGCTAACAAGCCTCAAAAAGCTCAACAAGTTGCATATTTGTTTCGATTAAATCTGCCAGCAAACCTTCTCTGACGAACTGTAATAAATCCAATGAGAACACGCAGATTAATGATCGGAACTATAGCTTATTTTTTAGTAAAATAATCAGTTAACCATTATTGTGCAGCTCTACGTACTCTAAAAAAAGCTATTCCTTGCTACTAAATACATCTTTAACAGTGTAATTAGATTACTGTACTTCCTCAAACAAATATTGCATTACTTATTCCCAATTGCTTTCTAAATCCCATATCAACCTCGAACATTTGAATAATACAAAGGTAGACATGAATCAGCTGTTAATTCTTTCAAATAAATATAATATAAAATTATTCTTTAACTGACTAAATTTAAAGGGAGAAGGTTACATTAAAACAAAAATTTTTACATTAGATCTTAAATCCACAATTGTTTTATATAGAATTGTTCTATAATCTATACAATATATAAAGCAATTACATCTAAATTGTAATTAAATTACAGAATAAAATAAATAAATAAATTTAAAAAGGGAAAAGTAATTCTTGGTAATGCATTACACCCAACACTACTAGCTAGTAAATTAAAAATGCAAGAGCAAAACTGCATTATTATGCCTTTTCCTGAAATATTCAGTTTTTGGTGTGATGTCTGAGAAATTATTTACTTATTGCATTTGAATGAAGATTACAAAGTCTAATTTGGACCAACTTTTTTTCACAACTGGGTTCATTACTGTGATATCAACTATTTCATATAAAGCCATGATGACATGCAAAGACAAAACATTGTGTAACTGTTCACTTTAAATGTCAATCAGACAGACCTTTACCATTTAAGTGATTGATTTATGGCCAGAATAAGAAGCAAAGTGGACCAAAGTTTATGCCGATAACAAGTCTGACAAATCTTTGACTGAACATCAGGTTGAGTTTGTAGATTCTTTGTGTAAAAAGTTATTTAAAGTACACTGTACATCTACTACATGACTACAAGTGCCTACAGACACGAGTTGATGCTGTTAATTTGTTGATATAGATGTAGAGGGTTTGCATTGAAGCGATTTGAACTTTTGCTGCAATGTACAGAGATATCAAGTGTTTGAGAATCTATGCAAGCGAGACTGTTCCAAAATGTAAGTAAATACCCAATGCTCTCACTAAAAGAGCAATACAACCTCACAGTCAAATGAGCAGCTTAATGAACAAGAAAAATTTAAAGGGAGAAGGTTACATTAAAACAAAAAATTTTACATTAGATCTTAAATCCACAATTGTTTTATATAGAATTGTTCTATAATCTATACAATATATAAAGCAATTACATCTAAATTGTAATTAAATTACAGAAAAAAATAAATAAATAAATTTAAAAAGGGAAAAGTAATTCTTGGTAATGCATTACACCCAACACTACTAGCTAGTAAATTAAAAATGCATGAGCAAAACTGCATTATTATGCCTTTTCCTGAAATATTCAGTTTTTGGTGTGATGTCTGAGAAATTATTTACTTATTGCATTTGAATGAAGATTACAAAGTCTAATTTGGACCAACTTTTTTCACAACTGGGTTCATTACTGTGATATCAACTATTTCATATAAAGCCATGATGACATGCAAAGACAAAACATTGTGTAACTGTTCACTTTAAATGTCAATCAGACAGACCTTTACCATTTAAGTGATTGATTTACGGCCAGAATAAGAAGCAAAGTGGACCAAAGTTTATGCCGATAACAAGTCTGACAAATCTTTGACTGAACATCAGGTTGAGTTTGTAGATTCTTTGTGTAAAAAGTTATTTAAAGTACACTGTACATCTACTACATGACTACAAGTGCCTACAGACACGAGTTGATGCTGTTAATTTGTTGATATAGATGTAGAGGGTTTGCATTGAAGCGATTTGAACTTTTGCTGCAATGTACAGAGATATCAAGTGTTTGAGAATCTATGCAAGCGAGACTGTTCCAAAATGTAAGTAAATACCCAATGCTCTCACTAAAAGAGCAATACAACCTCACAGTCAAATGAGCAGCTTAATGAACAAGAGTCTCGGGTTAGTCCTCAAAAGACAGCCGTTGGAGCAGATGGGTAAATCTCATTGTACCACTTATGATCATTCAAATAACAGAGAATCCGAGCGCCGCCACCGTCCTGACCGCTAGTGCATGATGGATCTCTGTGATAATCTTCATGCTGTCCACCTTGCTGCTGGCCATGACCATATGTTACAGGGGTGGATGCAAAAAGTGTTGGAGTTTGCTAATGGAGCGTGACTCAGTGCCCACTTCGCCTCTATGAATTTTTATCATCTTCCCATTTACAGACTGAGCTCGGTATATTGCGCAAGTAGGCCCCGGCATTTACACTTGGTATTAACATGCCGTAGGATGCACTTTATGTTTCATATACATGCAATGACTAGATGCTTTACTTAATCTGATCACGTGTGCATGAAATGCCTGTTAACATCAAGTGTGAATTTAAAGATCAGTCTTGCCCTCACAAAGCATGCTTTAGTTTCAATATGAGTTTCACTAGCCACTGGATTATTCTCTTTCGCTGAACAGATGTTTGCTATTTAACTTGGTTTAGTCAATATAATATACATTAAGTGCACTCACAAGAAAAAAATTACATAGTGCCTTTAACATCAATCTATAAAAAGTTTAACAAGAAATAAAATTTTTAGGGACCAATGAAATATTTTGTTTTTCTCACATTCCGTTTTATTGTTACCAAATCCTGTGTTTAAGCATGTCTAATTATTTGAATGCAAAATTACTTAATTTATTAAAATTAATTTTTACAATAGCCCTATGAATTTTTTTTTTAATTCTGTGTTGTGTATTTAAATTTTCCTGGTTATCAAATGAAGACATAAAACAGTAATTTATTTTATCTTTTAATCAAATGAAAACAAACTTTATTTTTGGCAAACAAAGGGGGTTTGCTATTAAAATTAAAACATGGGAGAAATATTGTGTGATTATTCCATAAAAAAGTATGTTTTAATAATTTATTAGTAGTAGTAGTAGTAGTAGTAGTATTACGTACATTCTACTGCACAATGATATCTTTCTGACATAATTTATTCCAGTTAAACCAAACTTTTATTTTGACGGGTTGCTGTGAATACCTTGACGCTTCTGTGTGTATATGATATGACAATAGTTTTACTCAAATGAAATGGTAAAATGCTCAGGAAGTGACTCTCAGAGCAGATCTGGAGAGGTTGTTCATGTATTTGTGTCCTATTCACCGCGAGCGTCGTGCGCGCTTCAGTACGTGTAGTAAACGAAACCGCGCTTAAGCTCCATTCATTAACACATGCAGAACATTTAGGATTCATATTTAAAGTCTTTTTGCAGCTTAATATTTACAGATACTAGTCCATATCGCGATTTAAGTGTAATGACCTACTTTTGACTAATTTATCCAAACTTTGACAAATTCCGTGAAATTCCGTGTTAAACCGTCAATTCCATTTTTATGACTGTATTCCACGATTCTGTCCGCGTTTTCCGCATCACGGAAATCATAGGGCTCTACCTACTCCATATCATCTCTATACAGCGGCTCTAAAGTTCAAGACCATTACCTTCATCTCCGTCCACGGTGACGGTGATCCTCTCGAGTGAACTCCGTTTCAGATCTTCAGCTGAAAGACATGAAAACATATTTACAATGAAAACCAGAGCAAAATGCTGAACAGATGAGTGAAAAGACTGCTTTGCCGAGATGTTTGATCTGACATTAAGTAGGACAGTCGTAGAAATCTCATATGTAACCAGTTGAGTTGTTAGAAAGTAAATGATATTTATCCATCATACTGGGCTTTTTGATACTAGGAAATGTGAATCACTTTAGATCTACACAGAAACACATGTGCCCAACAATTCCCCCAAACTGTGCCCCAAATAGAAATGGTTCAGATTTGTAACTCAAAATATTTTAAATAACAAGCATACTGGCTGAAGATCTGGGTTGATAATCAAATGGTTGAAAAGCTTGTTAGTTTGTGCATTTACTCTTAACATCAGGTCACTGTAATAAGAATACTGTATACTAGTTGGATAAAAGATTTAAAAAAATAACTAATTACTAATGTACCCGGCTGTTTGCAGCTAGAGAGTGTGCTAGAGAGACATCTGCAGCTTGAGATATACGTAACGCTGCTGGATGAAACCATTAAAGCTGTACGTGAGCAGTTTATAACACACTTTTATTCAGCCTCAAGATCTAATACATGATTAGATTAACATTTACATCTTCAGACAATAAAGACCAACAAGGAACTTACAAGTCTACTGTGCGGCATAATATTTTCAAATTAGTTACAAAACTTGATCAATCATAATTATAATACTGTAACAATCGTAGCAATGATAGTAATACATTTTATACGATTTACATTTTGGTAATTCCTTGTCAAATCAACCAAATTTCAGAAACTTCCCTGGCTCATGTCATGGATGTATATTTACTAATCCACGATTTTGTTTTTTTATTCACTTTTCAACTGAAATTTGAAACCAAATTACAGGGGGTAAAAATGACTTTAGAAAGATGACAGCATCATGTTATTTTTACACAGAGATTGGTAGGTCCATTAGCAAAATCTGCTGACTTCAGCAATCTTTATTGCATTATTTGCCAATGGTGACAGTTCAAAAAATGGGGAAAAGCACTGTTTTTTTTTTCTTCACAAAACGTACATGCCTGTAACTCAAGAATTATTTTAATATATCTTAATATCCCTTTAGATTTTAGTTCTTAACACACTTTTCTTTTGTCATCCTATTTTTTTAAGGCCATATGGTTCATTTTAAGAGATATTGAGATTTCAATGTGGCTCCGTGAATAAATTGTTAAATTTTACACATTTTCAGCACAGCACAGTCGGCAGCAGGAATATTAGGCTGCTGTCACTTTAAGAGCCGCACGGATCCAATTTACTGTTATGCACATATTTTCATTCTCAACTGTTTACGTTCACTTATTACGTAACCGACGAGTGTTTATGTGAATAATCGCCAAGCGCCGCATTTTGGCATGTATTTGACCGTTTAGGCACGTGCACCTTCAGCTAAAAGTTGACTTTACATGTCGGTGTTCTGTTCAGTTTTTGAGCGCATGCCCAGAAATCCTCCTGAGGAACAGCGCAAGTGCTCTTTCACGCTTTTAAAACATGAATGAATCTAATAAACTTTAACGTCCTATTTTGCGAAAGTCATGTTACAAGATTTTACTGATTCGCACGTGAAATTGGGCTTTTATGGAGGAGCAAAAGTGCGCCGCTGGAAAGGGGGTGGAATGGGGTGCAATAATTGTTTAATCTTGATTATTGTATTTTCATAATCGTTGGAGGCCGAAATCGAAATCAAAACTGTATTTCGATTAATTGCACAGCTCTATAGTTGGAGCTGTTCACATCCTTGAACTCCGAACTATCCCACTATCAATGCGTAAACATGGCGCCAAATGAGTCCGAGGTGGTCAGGTGGTACAAGTTGTAGCTCTCAGAAAACTCCCAGTTCACAAGTTGTAATTATGAGTTCTACAAGGACGTGAATGCTCTTTACAAGTTTGTATCTCGTAATCACGGTATGGCGTGAACGCACCTTAAGCCTTCAACACATTGCACGATTTTAGCAATCCTGTAAGATCATTGCAAATCACACTGTGCGACATGGATCTGATAAACTTGGGTACGACATGCATGCAGACTCTACGATGATGACACCTATTGATTCGTAGGCTACGACACACGTTACTATAGAAGAATAAAACGTCATCAGCATGCGCTAGTGGTAAACACAAAGAGCATGATGAATCCCAGTTTGGCAGTTGTAGTTTTTATGTGTGCTGAAAAAAGCGGAAGTGACGAAAAAGGAAGGAATAAGAGCTTGAGGTAAGCAGTATTATGTTTTAGCGCAGTGTCGCATTGATTTCATGTCGCATTTTTATTGGCTGGTTAGTACACGTGGGTCATAGCAGCAAACTCACATTGCGATGATCATGCTGAATTTCTGACATTGTCAGAAAACGATCGTAGGCTATCTTTGGTCGCAAGACCGTGACAACGGCCGTCTTTGAACCCCTCTCACTGTACGACATACGACCAGCGTTTAGGAGGCACAATCACAGAAACTGCCACAATTGTTTCACGATGCTAATCTTTCGTCTGGGACAGCCGAAAATCGTGCAGTGTGTCGAAGGCTTTAAACATCGGGTTTAGTGATGTCACAAACCCAGGAAGAAGCTCGTTGTAGTCCCTACCGTGCGACATGGATCTGATAAACTTGGGTACGACATGCATGCAGACTCTACGATGATGACACCTATTGATTCGTAGGCTACGACACACGTTACTATAGAAGAATAAAACGTCATCAGCATGCGCTAGTGGTAAACAAAAAGAGCATGATGAAACACACTTTGGCAGTTGCAGTTTTTATGCGTGTTTTAAGCGGTGAAAGAGGAAGGGATAAGCACTTGAGGTAAGCAGTTTTATGTTTAAGCACTGTGTCGCTTGATTGATTTTTATGTCACATTTTTTAGTACACGTGGGTCATAGCAGCAAACTCACATTGCGATGATCATGCTGAATTTCTGACATTGTCAGAAAACGATCGTAGGCTATCTTTGGTCGCAAGACCGTGACAACGGCCGTCTTTGAACCCCTCTCACTGTACGACATACGACCAGCGTTTAGGAGGCACAATCACAGAAACTGCCACAATTGTTTCACGATGCTAATCTTTCGTCTGGGACAGCCGAAAATCGTGCAGTGTGTCGAAGGCTTTAAACATCGGGTTTAGTGATGTCACAAACCCAGGAAGAAGCTCGTTGTAGTCCCTACCGGCCTTTTTTTGTAGTCCTTAAACAGTGATTTCTTTAAAATAAAATATCTTTGCATCTTTGCATTGAACGTTAAAAGTTTAAAAAGTGAAATCATAATCAACCACCCCTTTAAGGCTTAAAAGTGACTATTTGCTAACTTATGCTGCGTTCATGTCCTCCTGGGACGTTCTTACTCACGAGTTGACAAGTCGGAATTACGACGTCAGGTGCGTTCAAGTAAGTTTAGTCGGCACAAGATGGCGGTGTACCTTCTTTTAAATAAATTACAAGAAAATACAACAGGGTCTGTTAACGCTGCTTATAGAAAATGAAGAGCAAAGAATTCGCATCAGGTGTGTTTTGCGTATCTGTATCGCATAAAAACTTCATAAAAACTATAAATTTAAACAAAAATGTACCGTCAACTACAGACGATTTCGCCATGTTTCTAATTGACATGCCCCCAACTCGGGGCTTAAAGAAAATTTCGAGCTTCCCACTCGTAATAACGACTTTGTGGTGGCGTTCATGTGTGTTCAACTCGTAAATACGATCTATCCGACACGACTTGAACACACCAATAGTCACCGAATTAAACCAACCCCCATCCCTTTGACCACACGCCCTCTTTCCGAAACCCCGCCCTCCACAGAGCGCCAGCGATGTCAGCACAACATGATTGACAGGCAGAGCGCGTTTCTGATTGGCTAAAACCAGGACAGGCCACTCCCCCGTTTACAGGGCCTGTGGCTGTCTGTCACAGAGATTTGTGATTTGTAAAGACACCTATTCAGTGATAACAGTCAGGTAATGGGGACATTTTATTTGTGGTATTTGGAGAGAAAAAAAATGGCTTACAGCACCTTTAGGCTACAAGTGTTTCAGGCGTTTAAAATGTAATGATCGCGAACGGGGAGCTCTTCGCTTCCACAGAACGGAGTTGAGGAGTCAGCATTACAGTCGAGCAAAACAACTAGAGTTGAAGTTAAGCGTGGCGTTGATAAACTACATGTAGTCTGCGCGCGCGGGTTTGCGTAACGTCGCCTGCGCTACAGCATTATGACGCCATTTCTGTGCCACACGACCGCAGACGCTTTGACGTCGACATTCTTAACATCGCGACGCTCAGAACGTAACGTTACAAAGGAACGAAATCCGACGCCCCGCTCTTTATTACTGCAAGCCGAAGCGGGACGATAGCGTTATTGCGATTTCGAATAAAGCCAGACATTTTGATGGAGAAAAGCACGCGAACTAGACGGTTAAATCACTAAGCACCGACGGCGACAAAACGCTGACGCTCGACACAATGAACGATCCGAACAAGGTCAACCTAAAAGGGTTCGTACAACTTGGTCCGATCGGGGAAATCGGACTTATTTGAGAGAATGAAAAACAAATGCGTCGGTGTTAGCGCTAACGACAATGTCGCCTCAAACAATAACGGTCGCGTTCAGGCGCCTTTAATCTTCGCAAACGCAACTGTCTTCGCTGCCAACTAGGGATGAGATTTCAACGCTTGTAGTCGAAACATCTCAAAGCCTTGCGTGAGGCGCCCAGCAGCGAGCAGAAAGTGTCCGGGTCTTTTCGCGAATTCCAGCACAACATCAGCTGAAGCCCGAAGTTGGCCAATCTGCTGCATACGCTAATGAAGGCGAACAAAAAGTCCCCCGCTGCTTTAGACGCACTATTTACGTCGAAAACAAGGTGAGCGAGAAACCTTAGATCGCGGTCAGAACGGCGATTCGCGCGAATAATGTTAACAAGTGCTCATTTAGGAGCTCGACGCGGCGTCTCCGTCTCCATTATCTGACTTTATCTGGCCAACATGAACGTCCTACCTGATATATCCGGCAGATCGCGATGTCCCTGCGGTTAAATTAGTAATCCATTGGAAACCATCGACGGAAACGTCGTCCGAAAATGTAGGAAAGGCGTCGGAATCCGACAAAATCGCTCCGCACTCGCTTTCTGTGGTAATCCTCGCTCCGCTTCTGAGACCGACTGAAGGATACACAAACCAGGGTTGCCAGGTTTTCACAACAAAACCCGTCCAGTTGAGACTCAAAACTAGCCTAAGCGCGTTTCGGGGGCGGGTAAAATAGCTACACGGTTTTTGGCGGGGTTCCCCTGGTAAACTTCGCATTCCAGTGTCTAAATATCACGTTATTGGGGTCGTTTCAACCCGCGAACATAAAAAAACGACGGTGTTAAAACCGCGGAGCTGGCAACATCCGTCCGTTTTCTATTGCTTCAAGTTTAGCCTCGTTTGGCAGAGCCGCACGCAAATTAGCGTGAGACACATGGGACTTGTAGGTTTTGAATGCGACTCCCTTGTTATGCCGTCACTGGGACAAATGGAACACACAGCGACGACGTGAACTACACTTCCCAGAGTTCAATAGTGAGTGGCGAAATATCGCCAGGCTCCGCCCACTTTCACGCGTCTGCTAATCATCTGATGATGAAAAGTATAAAAATGTTTATTTGAACAAAAGAACATCCTTTGGAGAAAAGCACAGTCACGTTTACATGATCAATCTTTTTTTTTTTTGTACATGCAAAATTTCATATTCATAAACGTAAGTTCTCATGCAAAAAAAAAAAACTTGTTTTTTTTCTTTTAGGAAGGAAATGGAGCGTTGTATTGATACTATACGATTTTTTATGAAACAAAAAGCAATTAAAACGGAGAAAGTTTGTAAACGCTTTAATATTTTTATAGAAATGTGTATTTGGATACAGCCCCTCTACTGTGAAATTGTTTATTTCGTGTATAATGTTTATATCAGTATAGTGTTTGTCATATACATGTATTCTGATCTTGTTAATAAAAAAATTAATTAAATAAAAACATCCTTAAAATAACTGTCAGACTTATCGCATGATTTTAAAGCGACATTCACGAAAATGTAACAACAACAACAACATTATTCAGTGTAATTTAACATTGCATCCGCACAATATATTTGTATTTTCCTCTAACACAGTGGTGAAGAAAAGGGCCCCAGATATCAAACTCCTCATCTTACATGGGGATTACAAATGCTGAATTTTTAATTTAATTTTTTTTAGCTAGTTTTATTTTGCATTTCAACATTAGCAGAACAATACAGGCTAACATAAGTACAACTAAGTCCTCTCAGACGGAGACATTCATATTAATCATACTATAACAGAGAAACATAATGCTTTTTTTTTTCTATCTAGAAAAAGGCTGTTTTATTGTACATGTAGGGGGTCGCCCCCGTGTGTTTTTTTGTTTTGTTTTATTGCTTAATGTACATAACAAAACAGGGAACAACCAACAATGCAAGACACTTCCATTGAGACAATCACAGAGTTTACATTAAAGAAGAAAAAAAAATATATATATATATATAAATATAAATAAACAACACAAGGAGCAAGGATGAAAACAAAGATGTAGTCGAGACATTATAAAGAAAAAATATACTAAAGTAATAAATAATTTGACAAAGCGAAGCATAACTTTTCAGATTTTCTATGATGTTTTTTGAAGCATTTGAAGCTCTGAAACATTTGAGCAAACTCAAATAAAACTATATTGAAGGAGGGTTTACTTTTTTTCCGTTTACAAGTATGGATATGATATTTACCCATCAACAAAACCAAATTGACAACATCAGAGAAGGATGGATTTAAATCACACTTAAAAAAGAGGACATCTTGTTGGGTTATAGGAGGAATTGTCTCCATTTTTACTGACTACCAGCTGTGTACATCGAACCAAAATTTAGAAGAAGCCTCACAGTAAAAGAAAAGGTGATCAAGTGTTTCAGGAAATGAAGAACAGAAACCACAAGGATCCACCTCGAAATGAAATCGTTTTTGTATAAAGTCACTAACTGGGTAAATCCTAAACATCATTTTGTAATGAGTCTCCCTGACCTTTGGAGCAACTGGGTTTGCCATATAACGGGTAAAAGCTTTGTCCTTTACTGAGGTTTCAACGTCTCCCAGAAAATAACACTGATAATCAGCAGTGATAATACGTTTAAGTTCTTTGTAAATGAGTTTGTTATTACCCTTACTGTCTAAAAGGTCAACATTACATATTTTCAAAGAGGGAAGAGAAACTACAGGTCTAGAACATAATGCATTGCAAGAAATTAATCAAAATAAAATAAAACGTTCATACAACCAAACAATGTACATAATCACAAATCAAATAATTTCTTGGCCTCATCACTTCTCATATTTTTTAAAAAGCATCTGAAAACTCTCTCGTCCAAACTTGCTTTTGTCTAATCTGTTCTTTTAATTTTTATTTCTTTTTTACAATTTTGATGCAAGCACTTTGTGACACTTGCTCTTGAAAGGTGCTACAGAAATAAACATCGCTTGCTTGCTTAAAGACATTAAACCGGGGTGCTGTTTTACATTTGTGAATAAAGTATTTTAAAACGAGAAGTAAACAATTTACAACAAAGTCTACACTTCTGTCCTCCACATTTACTCCAATTTTCACCGATGGAAGAATAGATGCTCTTTATTTGATCCAATTACATACTTCAGTCCAAAATGAATGAACCAAATCATGATTACAGAATTGACTCATGTTACAATCCACATTCAATCTTAATCTCAGAAATTCCTTAGCAAGATAAACATCATACATCATTTTAAAATGCACTTCTTAACATTTTGTTGAAGAGGACATCTGCTGAAAATTAATCTTTTTTTTATTATACACATTTGTGATTTATTTAGTTTAGCTAAAAAAAATTAAGTGAAAAATAATCAGTACAATTACATCATAAAAGCGAGTTTGATTATGAAGATCAGCTTTTTTTGTGCTGAACGGTTTTATTTAGCACATAACACGTGTTACACCTTTCCTTGGTAAAGAAGTGTCAGTGTGTGTTTACTAATAATACAGCAAGGCTTTCACTTCCAAAACCTCATGGTGAAGGCTGAAAGCTGTCACTGAGAGCGTGAGGACGGAGAGCCGTTGTTGAATCCTGTACGATCCCGTCTCAACTGTCTGGTTATGTTTTCATCACCAGCATGAGGAAAACCCCACCTGAAAACCATATGGAGATGCTGATCTTGTAAAAGCAGCGTTTCTAGGTTTAAAACTGGGTTTGGGAAAGACTTCTGCTGATCTAGACCAGAGACATCCTAGCATCGTCCCCTTTCATCCTATATCTCCAGTCCTTTGACTGTATTGAGAGTGAAAGCTTCAAAGCTGCTGCTCGCGAGTGTTTCGTGTTGGCTTGGTCTCGTTTCAACAGTCAGGATTAGGGAGTCAAGACAACACTTATTTTCTCTGTATTGAAATGTAGATATTCTGGAATCTTAACTGCATTATTATATGGTTAGTTGCGTTTTATGATTTGAATTTAGCAGTTTCTTCCCTGCCGTCTTTGACCCGATCATAACAGAGCTGGGACCCATTTTTGGGCCCCAAACCTCCAGTTAAAATCTATGGATGCTTGTTTCTGTCACAGAATAAAAAATACAAATAAAAGTTTTATTTCAGAATTTGTACTTTTTTTTTAAATTATTAAAAAAAATTCTGAATTGTGAAAAAAAAAAAGTCAGAATTACGAGAACTTGGAATCGTAAGATATAAACTCAGAATTCCGACTATCGCAATTCTGAGTTTATATCTTATGATTCTAAGTTTGCATATCGCAATTCTGACATTTTTCATAATTCATAATAATGCATTTACTAATGCAGCATCTAGTTAACATATTTATGACTTTATAATATGAAAACATGTACTGTAGTATACTGTATATTATGTATGGTTTCGTTGTTGATGTTTTAAATATGCATCAGATGTGTCCCACTCTGTGCAGCTCGCATCTTCACATGTCAAAACAAACAGCATGAGATGTCAGTGATTCCGCCTCTAGAGGCTGCTCGTGTGCTGTATCATGACAGCAGAACTTATCAGCCGCTCCAGCGCAACACGGAAAAACTATCGGCATGGATATTTGCCGATAGCTGCTTGCTGCCGATATATTGGCAAAACCCATCAATTTGGAAATGTTGCTACCGTCATGTGACCCACCAGCGTCCGTTGTGTTGCTTCATTTCCATTCATAAATTCTCTCCCATGGCCTTATGGGACAGTAAAGTGTCCATCCAATGCGCACTTCAGAATCACGCCAGAAGTAGTAGGTCTACATCCGGCTACTTCTCGCCTACTGTTTTCCGAATACTATGAATTCGGACATAGGCTACTACTCGCCTTACATACTGTTTTTCACATACTATATAGTAGGAAAGTATGCGATTTCGGACACCGCACAAATTATTGCGTCCTGCAGTAGTACAAACCCTCCAAGTTATGCCTACTACTACACTTTACACTAGGGGTCGACCGATGTGTGTTTTTCAGAGCCGATACCGATTATTACAGATCAAGTAGACAGATAACCAATATTTTGAACCGATATATGTCTGGTGTAAAAAATATAAATTAATATCAAAATTAAGAATAACAAGGGCTCTGACAAAAACAATCTTTAAATGCTTTAAAATTATTTTATCGGCAAATTGGTTTTGAAAATGACCGATACTGATAACCATAAAAATGCTTAATATCTGCGCCGATAATCGGTCGAGCCCTACTTTACACCCCCTACAACGAAACGGCCAATTAGGGAATCGCTGATGTCGTCACTACCGCTCTTCTACTTCACTTTCATCGCTTTTTAAGCTTCACTATCGCCACCTAGCGATGAGGCATACAGATTGAATTACATAGCAGCTCACCAGACACCGCAAGTTTTTAAAAAGTATCTTAATTATGAAACTCAACTGTAAATTTTGTGTAAGGGTTAGGGGTAGGTTTGCCATAGGTCTGTATCAATTTGATTACATTATTTATTTTGTTTTACTACTAGCTGTTATTTTACACTTCGTAAATTTCGTAATTTGAAAGCAATACAAATAGCCTTAAAAACATTTAATATAGAAAACATAAGAATTTACTTGAAAAGATTGTTTTAGTCAATAACATCCATGCTTGTTTCTCTGCAGGAGGCGTAACTTGTAGTAGTAGGCGTAACTTGGGGCGTGGGACGCAGACAGACCCTTCTCCTTAAAAGGCCCAGAAGAGGCCGTGTCTGTTTGAGTGATGGGATGCAACTGCTGAATCATGTCACTGTTGTGTCCATGAAATTGTTTATGAGTCTAGCGCTGCGCTTCCATGACGGCGACATGCTGTAATAAATCGTTAAATAGTAGATGCAAGCTTAAGCATCAATAGGAACAGTCACTTCATCTGCTGAGATATTACTCATTAAATGAAATGACCCAGTTACATTTACTCTGAAATTAATAATTGCAATACTAGATCTGATGTTCTGCTCCGTTTGGTGAATTTGAGTTTGTAAGTAGTGATGAGAATCACTTATAAACAATCCAACTAATGCGAGTGCTGGTTTTGGTTGTCCTTTAGTCATAAATGGCAACATTTTATCTGGTCACCATATAGGGTTAGGATTAGTGTTGTGACGATAGTCGGAGATATCGCCTGTTGCTGATCCCTGTGACAATAGCAAGACGATGATTATTATTATTATTATTATTATTATTCGTCAAAAATAGACTAGCTCCAGTGGCCGTGTCGGAGCTGTAACGCGCCGCAGACAAGTGCAGTGTAAATAAGGGGGCAAGAGATTTATTCATCATGCAGTGTAGATGGCTTCACTGATTATGACGGGAGTGTTTTTAAATTGCATAATACTTGCACTAGACTCCGTTATGATGTTCTTTAATGTAATGTTCTTTGCTCATTTTCTGTAGCTGCTTTTTGAACTGTAAGCATTATAATTTGTAACTTACAATGCTTTTATAAAATGTAGGGCTGCACGATTAATCGAATGCGATTGTCATGCGCATTTTGATAGTAATGCCGGTTCTGTAATCAGCAGGAAATCATCATCACATGCTTTCAGATGGAGCAGCATTTACTACACATAGCCGTAGTTCACTGACAAGTTATGCAAAAAAAAACAAAATCGCAGACGATTTTATTGTGTGATTATGAAATCGTTTGCGATAATGACAGCTGTTTGCATAGCTTCTCAGTGAACTACGGCTCTGTGAAGTAAATGCTGCTCCATCTGAAAGCATGTGAAAATACCACATTTAATAACATTTTTACTCCAAACTCACTTCATAACGTCAGGTGAGTGTTTGAAATAAATCCTTCTGTGAGATGACATGGCTTCTTACACAGAATAAGGCACGCAACATATTTCATAGTATTTAAGCAGTGATAAAGGCATTGCATTATACTTTATTTTAATAAATTATAATAATAAGAACTCAGATAAACCGTATATTGCCGTAGTCGTGTGTTTATTAGTCACGTTGAATCAATGAAAGCAGTTGAATCTTCTGTTTATTCAGCTGCAGCGATAGGTATTTTCTGGGTTTCTTCTGCGAGGCGTATTTGGAGTTTCAGTGCGAGAGGCCCTCTGGCCTTTGGATGGAGATTTACTGCTGATCACAGAACCGTGCTTCACTGAAAGATACGCATGACAATCGCAGCTTCTGTCGAATCACGATCTCGATTCCATTTCGATTTATCGTGCAGCCCTAATATCATGTTAAATACAAATTCAGTCATGTTAAAAACATTAGGCTGCTTTTAGCCATATACTGGAGTTGGTTCACTTTCCGGCAATGAGACTAGGTAAATAAATAAATTAGTGCGATGATATCGTGTATCTGCGATCTCAGAGGCTGATAAGACGATATGAAAAAATTAGCATATCGCCCAACACTAGTTAGGATTATTCATTAAAAACAGTGAGTCATTAATAAAGCAATAAGCCACTTGATTTGTATTGCTTTTATATAATGGCAGCAACAGCAAATTAAACACACCAATATTCAATTAATAGTTACATTTTAGTCATAATCACAATAAACAAATAGTTTCATGCATTTAAGCTTTAATGCCTTAGGTCAAAATGTTAAATTCATGTGAATCCATGTTATGTAAATATGTGTGTGTACACTACAATTCAAAAGTTTGTTTTTTTAAAGAAATTTAATACTTTTACAAAAGATTTCTATTTCAAATAAATGCTGTTCTTTTGAATTTTCCCTTTAAAGAATCCTGAAATATAAAATGTATCTCAGTTTCCACAAAAATATGAAGCCGCACAACTGTTTTCAGCGTTGATAATAATCAGAAATGTTTCTTGAACAGCAAATTAGAATGATTTCTGAAGGATCGTGTGACACTGAAGACTAGAGCAATGATGCTGAAATTTCAGGAATAAATTACATTTTAACATATTCATATAGAAAACAGCTATTTAAAATTGTAAGAATATTTGAGAATTTTTACTGTATTTTTGAGCAGATAAATGCAGCCTTGGTGAGCAGCAGAAGAACATTAAAAAAAAATCTTACTGACCCCAGTAGTGTATTTAATATGGATATTACATTTTTTAGACACTTGTACATTTCATGAAACATCATAAATTTCTTTCAAGAGTAAGTTAAATTGCGATCTATTAAAATAGGTTTGTTCTGGAACAAATGAAGCCCTGCTTACTGTGGGAAAACCCCAAAGCGCCCGACACCGCATGCATAATGTTAGCAGTTTACCAGGAAGTAAAGTAAATCAAATTAATGTCAACTCGGCCAGGAATAATTGGCTGTTAGATGCCGCTGCAGCACGAGTGCGCCGAGCGTTTAGATAGAGTAGAGAAATACTGAGCTGTCACCTTCTGTGGAGTCTGTGTTTTTACTCTTGCTCTCGTTTTCTCTCTCAGCAGGTTTCTTTGTAGAAACGGAGGGATGGACGGGGACGAAAGAGCAACTTCTGAAAGGATTCTTCTGGAACCGTACAAGTACTTGCTACAGCTGCCAGGTGAGAGCATCTGTAGGGCATTACGCATTTATTTTTGGCTGCATGTATGTACAGTACAGTGGTGCTGAAGGAATAAATCACACAAAATACAAATTCATTTACTCACCATCATGGCATTCAGAAGCGGTGACTTTCTTCTGTGGAACACGAGGAAAAACTGACTTAGGAATGGAAATAAACTATCAAACAACAACCTAAAATTCAGTCTGAGACAAAATTCAAGCCATTTTGAATATGCAAAATGAAGAATAAGATTATCAGTGAGTAATGGCTTCAATTTTAGTAGCTTTTTTTGGCATGTAGTGCAAAAGTAGTATGAATTTTGTCATGGTCTATTCAGACAGAATATTATAGCTGTGATCACCATGAACTGTCATTATATATAAAAAAGATCTATGCAAATATTCTTCAAATATTGTTACTTTACTGTATTGTATCTAGAGTAGTCAGTCATTCGTATGGGTTTGGAACACATTGAGTGAATGTTTGCTTTAATGCTGCTGAATGTCTTGGATGTTAAGAGTCTGGCTTGGTCTTGTCTAAAATGTAGGTTAAAGGATATTTTAAGAACGGCATCGCTGTAGGAAAATCACGTTATGGAGATGAAGGGGATTTCAGTGGGATTTTATAATGAAATGAGTCTTGATCACTGCACTATGGTAATTTAGTACAGAATTATGCAGCAGTCCTAAATTAAACCAATGACGTTTGCTGAAATACTTCCACATTTTGCATGACTTTATTTTGGCCTGCTCTAAGCTGGAATATTTTAAAGGGATACTTCACTCAAAAATGAAAATTAGCCCATGATTTACTCGCCCTCAAGTAGGGCTGCCACTAACCACTATTTTTATTTCGATTAATCTATCGACTAAATTGTCGATTAATCTAAACGATTAATTTCCCGCCAAAAAAAATCTACCATTTTACGTAAGAATATTTTAAACTATTATATTAGTTATATTAAAAAATGTCCTGGCTCTTCCAAGCGTTATAATGGCAGTGAATGGGTGTTATTTTTCACTAGTCCAAAAGAAGTCCAATAAAGAGCATCCATCCATCATAAAAAGTGCCTCACACGGCTCCGAGGGGGGGGGGGGGGGGGAAAAAAGGACCCCTGAGGGGAATG